ACATGGTAGACAAAGGAAAGAAAGTGGAATGATGTAACAAATGAGTCAATTGAGGGAACATGGATGATGATGCACGACATAGGAATCCAAAGGGAGTGCAATGGTGGTGCACGACAATGATGGAAAGGTGAATGGTGGAGTGACACCCCTTTGTAGCTGAGCTCTTTGTCCTTTTTACCCTAATTCTTCTTTCTCTTTAACACATTCCTAGCCTCTTTAGTCTCCAATTTCGTCCTTCCACCTTGCTCCATGCATGTGCTATCCATTCCAAGCCCAAAACTGCTCCAAAATGCATCTTATTTCTTTATAAGGCCTATGGACCTACAAACACATGAAAATAGCTTAAAATACATAATTAACTAAGAAATAACAACATAAATGCATGAGAACAAGCTAACTCAGTCGCATAAATATGCTCCTATCATTTATCAAACCCCAAACTTCTTTGTTTATGTACGATCACTGATTCACTACATTTTCTCTTAAATAAGAAAACAACCAGGGGACGATGTTTTTGGACCATCTCCAAAATGACCTGAACTGCACGAGAATCCCCTAATTCTCTGCAATTCCAACACAAAGCATTCACTACAAATGGTGGGTGTGCATGCCAGCACTACCCACTGATGAACTAGAACAAAGTTTCTTCAGTGATGCGGAATCCATAGTTCTAGTAGCTAAGTCCACCTCTCTTATGCGTTTCAAGCCTGTTGCCATAGTACCTTTTAACTATAAGTCAACAGGCTTGCTCAAGTTACAGCTAACAACCCTCTTACCAATCTGCCGCACCATACGATAAGCCATTTTCTTACTCCGACGACCTCCTACCTGCGCATTCCATCCCTTAAAGAAAGATGGACTCATGGAGATGAGAAATAAACCCCCTAGTAATACTGATGCATCTGCCACCATAGGCTGCATCCCATTCCCAACATCCAGAACCAATATCTCTTTACCCCCCACCCCCACTTCGTTACCCCCACCCCCTATGGGCTGCATCCCATTTCCCAACATCCAGACCCAATATCTCTCTACCCCCCCCCCCCCCCGGCAAGCTTTGTCGTTCAAACTGAACTCCAAATTCTCCTCCCCACCATCACGTACCCATCCAAAATTGTAACCAACCACGGGGAAAATGACGACACCACCATATTCCACTCTCCATTTGCACTCGCATCTCTTGGCTGATTGCCTTGCCTGTAACCATTTCCCACATGATACATAAATGTCATCTAATGAGCCCCCTTTGAACTAATGTCATTGAATGCATCCACAAAGAAAGCAGTAAGTCGTGAGTTGTTTATATTGTACCAAAACCTCAATAAGACCACTTCCTTCCAACTATGGTAGTCGTAACTGAACCCCATGTCGCAGTGGTTTGAATACATCAATCGCGACTTTGATGTGCATAAACTTATCAAAACATAAATCATTCTCACAATCAACTGTCACGCACCTGCCCATTGCTGCCATGATAACCTCGCCCATCTCCTTTGTCGTAAACACCGAGGGAAGACCATGGATATGGACCCAGAAGCACTGCTCGAGAAATGGAACATCAGCAGGGACTTGTAACCCATCTACCTCTGCTATAAAAAAATTAAAAAATTAAAAAAAAAAGATTTCCCAAAAAACAACCATGGGTAAAACAAGTCGTCGTTCCTCCTCGGAATTAAAACTGAAAGTATGCGATTATCCCTAATCGCCATTGCCTCCACGATAGCCTTGGGATGCCAGGGATCCTTGATGACTCTCATAATGATGTTTGTCCTTAGGCATTTCTGGGTGAGCACCTTGCCCACCAAGAAAAACTTTGAAACCTTAAAACCCTAAGTCTCTCCATCTCCGTATCGCTGATCACAATCTCCACATTTTTCAACTCCGACAACTGAAGCCCAGACTTGAAAAGCCAAAGAAACGCTTCATCCCGGCACCCACCCAAGGAAAAACGATGCTGCACACGGCAAACTAGCAATTGCTGTCAACTAAACCTTAGAAACTGTAAACTGTCACGTTCCTTGAGGACGAATGGACTTGAATTTTCCAATTTTGAACAAACGATATTATTTACACTAAAGGGGAGGGGTGAGCTTAGCCTCACAATAGGCTAGCAATAATGTAGTTCAAATTCGTCTTTGGTGAAAATAGGAATACCACTAGACCGTAGTACTAAGTGGTGAATTTATTAGAAGTTAAACGGTGAGATGAAGAAGGGAAGATTGGGTTGTCTGCAATGAGTTAACCCATGAGACAAGGACAATAAATTGGTGATTAAGCTTTTGTCGGTTATGGAAAGGAAATGAAGCACAAATGAGAAGGCAAAGAAAAAGAAATGGTTGAGTCATAATTAGCTTTGGCATTAATATATTAATAATGGGTTGATGAATGACCATTATTCAAAATGGATATGAAAAGAGGTTGGCTGCTGCAGCAGCTCAATATCATTTGATTGTTTTCCATCAGTTTGCTCTTTCATAATTTTTAGAGTTTTGTTATTCTATTTAGTTTATGGAAAACTAATCTCCCTAGCTAAGGTTAGGGGGGAACCTACATTACGATTATGTAGTTTTACTATTTCGATTCTATTTCAGAGTTTCAATGTCAAATTTTAATTGTGGATGTCAATGGAATTTCTTATTTATTCTATTTTTGGATTGATGAATGTTGGTTATGATTCATAGGTTTAATCATGTTTTTCCTATAGTTTTGTTTCACATTCATGCTTATAGTGAATTGAATAAATTAGTAGATTGGTATGATTTCGACGGAGTAATTTCTCAATATTTTATTGTCATAGATACAAATTATATTTGGGATTATTTCTATAAGAAATTGAATGGGCATTTTGTTTTGATATCTACAATGAAAATCACTTTTCAAGTAGTTTTATATGAGGACAACTTAATTGCTATATTTTCCAGTTGAGAGAGTACTTGTTGGTATCTCAGTTGAGTTATAAAAAGGAATCGAAATAGTGAAATTGCATAGTTGTATTGAGTGGAACCCCTAATGCTTTAGTGTTTTTTCTTTTTAATTGTTGAATTTTTCTTCTATAAGTTACATCTCATTCAATATTATTCTTTGATTCAGTCTAGATAAATTATGCACTCTTTTTCAACGCTCTCTGGGGAATTCGAGACTTGGACTTCGAGTTTATACTATTATGTGATACCTGCACTTGGATTTAGCAAGCAATTTTTGGCGCCATTACTAAGAAAGCGATTTGGTGAGGAGCGCATATTTTTTCTCCACCTTGTACATCTTTCCATTTATTTGTATTTTTTTAGTTGTAGTAGCGGTAAGTATTACAGCTTTCTTTAAGGGTGGTAAAGCTCTCTGAAAAGGTACAGGCACATGATATTCCTTGTCATTTTTAGATTCTTTGAGCTTGTAAAGTTTATTATTACTCTTAGTTTTCTCAACCTCCTTAGGTAAAGGTGTCGTGTCAATTATTTTACCGCTCCTAAGAGTAATCACAGACTTAGCATGCTTAAATTCGGTCTCAGTTGAATTAACACCTTTAGGATTAGCTTGAGTGTTCGCAAGTAATCTTCCGTTTTCATTAACCGACATAGAGTTAGTTAATTTCAAAAGTTGACTCTTGATTTCTTTGTTTTCCTCTACAAGTTGATTGAACAATGAATCAAACTTTTGACCTAACGCTTGAACAGGATCTACATATGATTTTTATGTTGAAACGAATTAGGAGCAGAAAATTGGTGGTTAAGAGCACTTACCTAAGGATACAAGCCATTCCTTCAACGTAAAGTCACTATTACCTTTCCGAGAGACTTCTCCCTCACATCCTTTAGTTGGAAGAATAGCGGAATCGGCCATCATCTCGAAAATTAAAACTAGAACTTGGGATATGAGGGGGCTTTGGGGACGAAGAAAACGGTGGGAAATTTAGGGTTGTGGGGAAACCAATGAGAGAAAATGTGAAAGTGAAACAGTTCTTTTAAAGAACGCGTGGGACTTTGTGCGATGAAGCTTTGGTCACACAAACTTGCTTGCACAACCTTGCGCGACGAAATCTTCGTTGCGTAAAGTACACAGAAATACGATGACTTCAATGCCCACTGACCTTTTCAAAGTCCCTTTGTGCAACAAGACCTGTGTTATGCAAAGTTTATGCGGGAAATTCTTCGCCAAGTGCTTCTTTGGGGCCAAAAAAATTCATACCCACATTTTCTTGTGGGACTTTGGGCGGCAAAGGGTTTGCGCAATGAATTCCTTATTTCATGCCACAAACATGCTTTAAGCGACGAAATTTTCATTGTCGCACAAGCTGTTTTTCCTACTGGTGTATGCATTGATAGTACCAATCACACATCGAGCAAATAAGGGATTTTGTATGTGTATATAAGTAATTGAGTTACTCCACATACTGTCAATTGGCTTTATTAGGGAACCCCAACTTTTTTCATGGTATCATAATAAGTTGTCCCACGTGTTAAACCCAAGAGTCACACATGCTCCACATCACTGAATTGTGTTGTCCACATGATTGGCTTGAAAATTATCCACATGTGAGGGGGCGTGTTCAGAGTATAAATCCCACATTGAAGAACCAAATGACCTTGCATGTGCTTATAAGTAGTTGAATTACTCTCCATATGCCAATTAGTTTTATAATAGAACCCCCAAACTTTCTTATATATATATGCAATCCACCCATTCATCCGTAGAATCCAATTGTTATAATAAAAAGTTAAGAACATATTTTATCGAATTTTTGGTGCACGTCTGTACTTAATAAAAAACCATATTTCGTTTGGAAGCCTTCCAAAAGTTTGGGGCTCTTTCCTTGATTTCTTCTCTGTATGATAACATATTATCCCCATTTTACCTGGTTGGGATTACCATGATATTTTATTCAACATCATTGTCATCGCCAATCCCAACGGGATTCTTTTGTTTTGCCTTAATTCTTTTTAGACAATTTTCACCTAGCAAATTATATATACTAGCTAATCAAATCTCTAGACATATATACAATTACAGGCAACTCTTTTGCTTATTACCATTGTAGACATGAAGTCCCTTCTCGTAGCTCTCTTCTCTTTGTTTTTGGTAAGCATCCGCATTCTCATTCCTCTTATTGCTTAATCTGTCGCCAATTTTTCAGTCGAAGAACAGAGCAAAAATACTATGTATTTGCATGAAAGTGTTCTCCGTGGACAGATTGATATATTACACTTTTCAATATCAATCCAAACTCTTTCGGAGCGAAACTTATTTGAATATGTGGTTCAAACTCTTTATAAGGGAATTTGTGTTTCAATATGTGGTCTAAATTCAGACTGACAACATAATACTATTTGCACTGCGGTGGAAGCATAAGAGAATCTACTATCTTAAATACCGGTAGAGGAGATTCGAATTTGGAACCTCTTTCCAACATCGGAAAGAGAAAACCAACTCAAGAACTAATTTGGTTAAGCATAAGACAATATTTTGATTTTTATTCTCTGATACAACAATCGATAAGAGTGAATTTATGGTAAGCCACAAAGTATGTCAGTCATAACCAGATATCGAAGTTAAACACAAATGTTAAATAGTCATGCCCATCTAATTGGTGCATGTGACAATCTTTAAAATGCCTTCAAAATTACTATAATGTTTTAGTTTTTTTCTGTATTGTGGAGCAGTTTTCTACAACTATAGAATCAAGAGGAGGTGCCGGATTTGACTGGCCAACTAAGGAAGACCCCCAGGTTGACGTTTCTGTTTCAACTCCAAGAGCTTTACGATGGGGAGGTCCAGGAATTGAGTCAATTGACTGGCAAGATATCATGAAAGATGAACGTATGGGAAATTTCTTTGTTGAGGTTTTTGATTCAAAACCAAAAACTATAGGATCAATAAGAGGTGAAGAAATTGAGTCAGTTGATTGGAAAAATATCATGAAAGAGCAACCTAGGTGGAACCTAGTTGTTGAGGTTTCCGATACAGCACCAAAAACTATAGGAAAAACAGAGTCAATTGAATGGAAAAATATGATGAAACAGGAACCCACGGAGGACCTCCTTGTTGATGTCTCTATTTCAACGCAGGAAGAGAAAGCCTACCGCCGTGAAAATGTAAAGAAACCTTTTGATGAGTTCAGGCCCTATATCTCAGCTTACGGCCGCGAAGATGAAAGCAAAGTAGAATACTATGCCAAAGACATTGAACCACAACCTAAGTCTGATCGGGCTTACACTCGCAAGCAGCCATTTAGAGCAAAACAAGCCAAGCAAATATTTCCATCTACGATTACTACGAGAAACTGAAGGAAATTTAAAGAGTTAATATTACCTCCTCCGTTGTACACCTAAAACAACAAATAAAGTTGTAATAAAGCTTCCATGTATTAAGAAAGATACAGCTATTAGCTCGGAGAGAATTAATTCTATGTTTTATGAGTACTGTAATATACACAAGTGGTTTTGGTGTTTATATGTCGAGCTAGGTCAAAAAGAAAAAAAGAAAAAAAAAAACAACCACCAAACTCGTAATCAGACCAAGAAAAACTCATAATACTTCAAACGAAAATAATACATGACAAGAAATTGAACATTTGGCCAAATGTTATATGCATATTTTAAGCTATTCTTTATCAAGGTTCTAAAATACGTTAGGCGCTGTTGATGCACAAAACTGGAGGTCTTGGTACAACGTAAATCAGACCGTGAATCTGCAAGTAATGTAAATAACACAAGATATATCGTGGTTCATCCCAAGGTTTAGGCTACGTCCACACTGATTATATTTCTGAGGGAGACAGAGAGAGCTCTGAGAGTGAGAGCTTTGAGAGGGGCTGAGAGGGCCTAGGAATTGGCCTCCCCCAATTGTGAGGGTGAGGGGTCCTTTTATAGAATAAGGACTCCTCACTTATTACATATTTGCCCCTTCCTTTATCACATAATTACATTTAAGTTCCCCGAGTATTTGTACGAGATCTAAATACGAGGCCCTAAATATGATATAAACAGTAGTCCCCCAAGTCTTCAGTCAAGAGAGTCTTTTGGCTGGAGACTTGAAATTCAGTCCATGTGTGGGTCGAAGTAACTAGATGTTGTCATGAACTGATGTTCGGTATGAGGCGGTGCTCAATCTGAAATGATGCTCAACTATAAGTAGCACATGTTGCGAGGCTGCTCGGCTTGTGGCTTATGTTGCCTTCGTTGGCTCGGCTTGTGGCACTTGGAGGTGAGGGGGTCCCTTTTATAGAATAAGGGCTCGCTCCTCAATACACAAATGATGGGCTAGAGTTGATGCTCACGGCGAGGCGGCTGCTCAGTAGGCGGTGATGCTCTCTAATAGTGGTGAGGGAGTCCCTTTTATAGAATAAGGGCTCGCTCCTCAATACATAAATGATGGGTTAAGATTGATGCTCCCGGCGAGGCGGTTGCTCAGCTGGCGGCGTTGCTCTCTAATGAAGGTGAGGGAGTCCCTTTTATAGAATAAGGGCTCGCTCCTCAATACATAAGTGATGGGCTAGGAGTGATGCTCGCGGCGAGGCAGTTGCTCAGCTGGCGGCGTTGCTCTCTAATGAAGGTGAGGGAGTCCCTTTTATAAAATAAGGGATCACTCCTCAATACATGAATAATGGGTCCTCTCTAATGAAAGTGAGGAAGTCCCTTTTATAGAATAAGGGATCGCTCCTCAATACATAAATAATGGGCTAGGTCCCCCAAGTATTTTTCATGAGGCCCAATATATGGTACACAGTGTAGTCCCCCAAGTCTTCGGTCAATAGAGTTTGTTGGCTGAAGACTTCAAATTGAATCCATGTATGGGCCGAAGTGGCAGTTGTTCGGAGGTGGTATTTGTATACCCTGCACTGAAGCTTTGTAGGTGAAGCTTTGCAAGTGAAGCTTTGAAGCTAGAGCTCTGTAAATGAAGCTTTTGAAGCTAGAGCTTTTGTAAATGATGAAGCTATAGCTCTGTAAATGAAGCTTTCGAAGCTAAAGCTTTTGTAAATGAAGCTTTTGACACTGTAGCTCTGTAAATGAAGCTTTCGAAGCTAGAGCTTTTGTAAATAAAGCTTTTGAAGCTGATTGACATGAGTGATGCTCATGAATGTTTGATTGACATGAGTGATGCTCATGGATGTTGACATGAGTGATGGTCATGAATGTTGACATGAGTGATGCTCATAAATGTTTATGTATGATTGATATGAGTGATGCTTATGAATGTTTATGTATGATTGACATGAGTAATGCTCATGTATAATATGAAGCACTGGGCGTACTTTTGATCACCTGGTTGGTGGCATGAAGAAGAGTACAGGTTGTACATTTCATTACCTGGTTGGTGGCATGAATGGCTAGTTGCCAAATGATATTAGAGTACGGGTTGTACATTTCATCACCTGGTTGGTGGTAATAGCAGCAGGTTGCCGAATAATTTTGGAGTACTGGGCGTACTTTTGGTCACTGGTTGGTGGTAATAGCGGCAGGTTGCCGAATAATTTTGGAGTACTAGGCGTACTTTTGATCACCTGGTTAGAGTTATTTTGGGCTTATGGCCCTTCGCCCTCCACAACATGTCAGCCCATTTATGTTAGGCTTTGCCTTTTTTTTTTTTTTTTTTTTTTTACTATTATTACCCTCTGATGGGGTTTATAAAGATGTATCCGAAAGATAAGAAAAATAATTTACATCATTCAGAAATAAGAAAAGTAAATCACATCTTTCTGGTAGGGTGTTTATTCCTTGCTTTTGCAGTGTTCCCATGTGCCTCTCTTCTTCTTTTCTCTTTTCCTTTTCTGCTTACTTTTGCTTTTGTTTCTATCTTCTTTTCTCTTTTGCAGATGGCAGACAAGGAATGATAAGTACATTAATCTTATCTCGGCTTTTGCACGATCTCTCATGATCACAGCCTCCACCACCTCTCCATACTTCCTGAAATATTCCTTGAGCCGTTTCTTATCTGTGTCCCAGGAAATCCCCCTTTTTCTTTTTCATGAGTAATGCTTACATATTTTATTTATGGTTGATGATCTGTCAACAATACACACTTGGAATGACACTTACTCTAGCTAACATTTGAACTTGAGCAGATTAAACTATGTACATACCTCCAGGGTGAAATCTCATGTATGGAGACAATTTGTACACGCAGCCTTTTAGAACAGTCCACATTGAATCTCCTTTTTGGTGCTGTTTAACAAAATCTGACTCCCCCTCTCTAACCGTGACCCAATCTGCATTATGGAACCGACGGGTTGCTTCTACGAAAAACTTTTCGATGTAGCTAGTGCCAAAGTCGACCAGGACTTGGTGGGCGTCGTGGAGGGTAATGACGGCGTCTCCGGGGCGGAGGTAGTTATACTGGTAAATCCTGTAGTCATCACAGAAAAAGGTCACAGCTTCCAAGTCAAGAGTGAGAGCTTTGTTAAGCCCTTCGATGATGGCCTCGAGCTTCGCCACCTCATTGCTCAGCACGACGCCGTCAACCACCGCCTCCAGATTTTTCCTCGCCTCGAATATCAGATTGTCCATTGGGTGGCAGATCGTAAAAATCAATAGCCTTCTTCAAGCCATTGTTGGAACCATGAGAGTACTCTTTCCTCGTTACGAATCAACCCATTCGGCCCACCCGTTTTCGTCTTGGCATCGTAGGTCCCAGCATCGTGCCACGACAAGCGGAGCATGATCGGAGCGCAGCTTCTGCTATAAACGAGAGCGAGGAGATGGCGGCAAGCCTTGTCGATTTTGTTGAAATACTCTTTGTCAACGAGCGGCGACGTCATCGAAACTGGAAGTCGGTACTCGACTGTGACTCGGAGCGAAGAGAGAACAATGAGAGTGATAGTGCAAATGCAACTGTGCAAGTGATATTTTTCAACGACAATGTTGATAAAGGGAGGGACTTGGAAGAACAGCTCAAAAGATGGAGAGAGAGTGGCAGCAGCGATGTGGAGATCTGACAGTCACTAGTATAGTTGTCCGCCTGGTCGACGGAATGGTGGATCCAGCTTCGGCACTCAACTTTGAGAAAGCAATTGTTGCTTGTCCTCCAGGAATTTCAGATGGAGGCTTTAGCCTCTTCTCCAGAACAAAACCACCAATCGTGACTTTCCCCAATTTGAAGCCTTCTCTTTTCCCATATGCGCTGTAATTTCGATCCGTATGGAAGGACTTCTTACGAAGTGCTGCTAATTCTTTCTTGGTGCGCCCTGTTAGACCAGCTTCTGACTTTTCTTCAGAGGTGGATGTCTCTTCAGGTGCATGAGAATGTGTGTGGGATCTAGGAAAGCTTTGGTTTTCAAATTCACGGCGGAGGTGAAAAAATGAAAGAGAACCGACATAGCTTTTCGTGTCGATTCCCACAGACGGCGCCAAATGTTGATGCATAAAACCGGAGGTCTTGGTACAACGTAAATCCGACCGTGAATCTGCAAGTAATGTAAATAACACAAGATGTATCGTGGTTCACCCCAAGGTTTAGGCTACGTCCACACTGATTATATTTTTTAGGGAGACAAGGAGAGCTCTAAGAGTGAGAGCTTTGAGAAGGGGTGAGAGGGCCTAGGAATTGACCTCCTCCAATTGTGAGGGTGAGGGGTCCTTTTATAAAATAAGGACTCCTCACTTATTACATATTTGCCCCTTCCTTTATCACATAATTACATTTAAGTCTCCCGAGTATTTGTACGAGGTCTAAATACGGAGGCCCTAAATATGGTATAAACAGGCGCTAATCGGGCAACAGTCATGATAAACGCTAGACGGAGCTTAGGCAAGGGCTTAAGTGGACTAAGCAGTTGTAAGTAAATTTATTATATACTTTTATTATATAAATAAGTTAAACTCAAAAAGAAAAAGAAATAACAAAACATTGCCAAATACTAAAATAAATAGTTTACCAAAAAAAATTAAAACTAAAATAAATAAATAAAATTGTCAAGTTGAACTTGGTTTATTAAGAACTTGTTGGATGGCTGGACGTGAGTATACAATAAATTGTCAAGGTTGTCTTGGTTTTATCATTAAAAAAATATAAACTATCGAGTTGGTCTTGGTTTTATCAATCATTTCAATATTTTACTTATTTTTCTACTCTTAAACCTTGCCTTGGCCTTTGTTACAAGAAAGGGATCATCTTCGGATCCACTTTATGGGGATCTTAGGGATCCCCACATTCTAACCGTTCATCGTACATCGTGAGGTCAGTTTTCGTCAGATATTATTTGTGTTTAATTTTAAATAAAAATATCAAATAATTTCTGACTGCACGATACCCGATGAATGAATAAGATGTAGGGATCCCTATGATCGCCACAAATTAGATCCGGATGGGATCCAATTCCTTTGTTTCATCAATCCTTATATATTTTATTCATTTTTTTCTTTCTCTGTACCATCTTTTCCTGTCCCATTAAAACTCCCTCTTTTACCAATCTCTCACTCTACCATTTCAATTTGTTTTCTCATAATACCAGTCGTCGTTTTCCTTCTCTTAATTCCCCACCCCTCCTACAGCATGCCGACAAAGTTGCATGCTTCTCTATTTGCTTCCCAATCCACCGTTCTCATTGCTTCACCACCTCACCATTCTCTCCCATCCTTCCTTTTCCCATCAAATCGGCAACAAGCGAAGCCGAGAGATGCGTCAGCGATTGAAAATGACAGCGAGATTGCAAAAAGAACCATCGCTTGAATCACCACTTAGAATGCCTAGAGAGCGCCTAGGCGGGCACCTAACTCCTACCCTATTTTGTTGGACAAGTTGGCCTAAATCGTGGTTGTTCTCTGTCGCCCAGCGCCTAGGCCGATTTTTGGAGCACTGCTTTTTATATGTATAAAATACATAATGTTGGGAAAATACAAGAAAATTGTAATATTCTTCTAAGAAGCACGTAGACAATTAGGTTAAGGCACGGGTATTTCACTCTCTTTAAGGAGATTCAAGTCTAGTGCGGTTTGACAAAAGTTCACGAACAATTCTAGCAATATATCTCTTGACTTGTCCCGTTCAGGATACAACAGCCTAATTGAATTGTTTTTTCCTCAAACCTATATCCACAAAAAGGATGAGTCCAAAGCTCTCCAACAAGAACACCCTTCTTTGACCAATAAGTAAAAGATAGAAAAAAAAAATGGAGCCATATTGATCGAAATTAAAACTGACACACAACCTCAATGTTATGCATGTTGAGCAAAATGTGTTCAATACATTAGTCAGAACAATTCTAGACATCAAGGGAAAAATAAAGGGCACGATCAAAGCTTGCCTCAATTTGGAACAAATGGGCATAAGGCTCAAGTTATGGATGAATAGGGACAGTGACAAAGTGAGAAGGAGCTTTTCATTTTTTTTTTTATTAAACCAGAAGAGAAGAAAGAGTTCTTAAAGTTTCTATTTCTGTAAAGTTTCCATATGGGTATGCTTCAAATATCGTGCGCTGCTTGAACGTTAATGGTGGTAAATTTTCTAGACTAAAGAGTCATGATTGTCATGTGATTCTGCAAAGCCTACTTCCGATTGGTACTTGAAACCTCTTGCCTTTTAATGTGGTGAAGCTATCATGTTGTTTTCGAGGTTTTTTTTTTTTTTTCAATTGACTGCAAGCTCGTTGCGAAAGTTAGACATTAAATAGTTGCATGACTACATTGTGCAAGTCCTATGCAAGTATGAACAGATATTTCCTGACTTTCTTTACAAGTATGATCTACATGATGATTCACTTGCTGAATAACGAATTGCTTGATGGACCAGTCAACAATCGATGAATGTATCCAATAGAAAGGTATATCATCGCCCGTAATATGGATGATTTGACTATTTTTAATGATAACTTTTTATTTTTGCAGACTGCTTGTGATTTAAAAAAGTTTGTACGAAGCCCAAAGGATCAATTATAGAGGTTTGGGTCGTATATGAGTCGCTTACATTTTGTGGAATGTACCTACAAGATGTTGAGATAGCTCAATCGTCCCTAGTGCAATACTGGCCGGGGTGTGAGGCAAGAGAAACTTTGTATTGTTTTCCAAATCGACCCTTTGACGATCTTGTACGAGGCGAGTCGTTTTCCAAAAAGGATATGGATGAAGCGCATTGGTTCGTACTCAAGAATTATGACAAGAAAATGGCATACATGGATGAGCATGAAGAGATGATCACATATATATGCCTAAAAGCATCATGAATTGTTTCCTCATTGGTTTCTCAAATATGTAAGCTTAACGTGTTTGTATTGAACATATTGTATGTATTTAATCATTATCTTTAAATTTTGTAAAACTAACATCTTGAGTTTTTGTATTATATTTGGTGAATGAATTGAAGGCATTGGATTCGCCCTCTTACACTAAAGAGTTATATAACTTTGCATTAGAACTCATTTGCGCTGAAATGTTCTCAAGTTGCTATATTAACTGCGTCAAGTTCTTGGGGGCTGAGCATTATGAGAAGTTGTGTACACAAAATAGTAAGGTTCATGTATCAGGTGGGGGCGATAGTACAAACATTTATTCCTATGGAAAACTAAAAAGTGTAGTACAATTACTTTACAAAGGCCGTTGACAAGTGATCCTGTTTAAGTGTCGATGATTTGGTGAAAAACCAACATAGAAGTATGAGAGTTACGCGAGACCATGGACTACTATCAGTGAACACTAACAGATGTTGGTACAATGATGACCCTTACATTTTGGCAAGTAAGGCAAAACAGATTTTCTATCTAGATGACCTTAAGGGTGGGGAGGGGGGGTTAGAAAATTGTTCAGAAGATTGATTATAGGAACATGTATGCCACCCCGGACGTATATCATGTTGACAACGACAACAACAACTATGCTAACCAACAACTCAAGACTTTGATAGAAATTGGTGCGGAAACACTCCGGGATAGTAATTTTGCCCAAGAACCGTTTCAGATACCAGGAGTTGCTGAAATCGAAATACCGATTGAGTCCATTACAATTGACCTCGGTAGTGGTATCACCATACTCAACCCTATGTTACTTATGTCTTCTTCACATCTCTTCTTGGTGACCTAAATACAAGCCCAATAGCAAAAAAGAAAATACAGCATATAGGCCCAAAAGTGGCTAGTTGAACAATAACAAAAAAAACCCTAAGACTGGAACGGAACCAACAGCCACCAGATGTGCTTCCATCGCAAGGACACCACCACCACCAAGAGAATGATCCAATGAAACAAATGGATCAACGAAAAATGGGGGTGAGCAAGCCACCCGCAGTAAGCGCTCCCATAATCCAAACAGATAGTGCTAAAAGCACTTTGACAACCACCCAACACCTGAGAAGAAGCACATAGGCCGAGTAGCAAAGGCTGATGGTTGAGGACGCAAAATGAAAAATATCACTAGAGCAGGAGAAGGCCATGAAAGTCCAAATCTGAGACCAACTCATGGGAATTGAAACAGAGTTCATAGAACAAAACTCAAGGGAAGTTAAAACAAAGACCAAAAGAGAAAACGTTCACAAATAAAAATAAATAAATAAATAAAACTTTTGAGCGAAATGAAGGAAGGGGGAAGGATGAAGGAAAGTAGGGGAAAAGGGAAGAGTGGAGATGGATGGGTAAAGGGGAATAAGAGCTAGAAAAGGGTGGGAAGGATGGGGGAAAGAAGGGGAAGAGGGAAGATGCAAAGGGTGGAGAAGGAAGAGAAAGAGGGAAGGAAGGCTAGAAAGAGGGGGAGTCGGGCTGCCGCCGACCCCAAACCGGAGTAAGGCGCGGTAGCTAGGAGGATTTCTTTTAGCTTGAAGGCAAAGGGAGGAAATGTTAGAAAGAAAACAACTACACTAAATCGTGAATTGGGACGTTGTGAATTATAAAGAATATTTACCACGTGATATTGTCCATCTTCATGCAAAGTCTATTGTCACCATAAAATATGCATTATTGTACGTCCAACATAATTATTTATGATGTATAAAATTAAAATATAAAAAAATTATTTGAATACTTAAATAATTTCCGATAATCAGTTTGTAGCTCCCTATGTTTGCCTCGCTTCCTCTCTTTTTCCGTCTTCTATGCATGCAATGGCCAACCCTTATTTCTCGCTTGCCTCCTATTTTTCTCCGTCAAACAAAAACATGCCAACTAAATAAAAAAATTTAAAATGTTCTAAATGCACCAGCTCACAACGACTAGGTTCTATTCGTGAGCTCATCTATTTTTAGCCGTTAGATCCTTGTCCGCACGGATCGTCCACACGCTTCATCTGCACCTTAGACACACCCATCCCTTTGGATAAAAGGTATGTATGTATGTATGTATGTATCTATATATATAATCTTATGTCGGAGTCATACCACGTGAAAAAGTCTATTACATGTACAAAATAAGTGACTGAGACTCTACTTGATAAAAAAGCATATATATTAAGGAATCCTTCCAAAACCTTGGGGTCCCTAATTAGGTCCACCATTGATTTCTTCCAAGTCTGAAAACCATCAAAACAAATATCCGCACACCACTCTTACCTGATCGGGAATACCACCATGATATTTTATTCATAATCGCTATCCGTCATCACCAACCCCGTCCCCAACCCCAACTTGATTATCATGTGCATACTGCTATGACATATTTCAAGACATTATTCTCCTCCCAAATTATCTATAAGTAGTCTGAGTTTCATATCATTCGACGTACAACTACAAGCAAACCTTTTGAATACCATTCAAACATGAAGTCCCTTTGTGCTACCTTAGCTCTCTTCACTCTTCTTTTGGTAAGCATTTGTGATATCCATAATGTTGTTGCTTAAAATATGTTACCTGCCAAATCTTTTAAGCCAAAAACTTGATAGATGACTGAACTCTTCTATCATAGTTACGTTGAAAATTTTCTTCCACAATATATATAGTGTAATGTTTTCTTGCCAACTTATATTATCAAACTGTGAATCCATACGACAAATTCCAACAAGAATCAATTAAATTAATCAATAGTCACAATTTGAGAACATAAGCATTTTATATATGTTAATTTTGAAATAAAAGAACGAAATATTCTTCTCCCTTGTATTTCTATATATCTTGGGATCCACTTTTTGGAGTGATAATAACATCTTTCTTACTTTTATTGTGCTTTATTATTGTCAAATTCATTTCGACTATGTACGTAAATATTTGTTTAAATATGTATATGTGGCGTCATTAATTTGAATGATAGAACACAAATTATTTTGTTTTTCTTACTCTCTCTCACTTGTGGATCAGTTTGCTAAACCTATTGAATCCAGAGGAGGTGTAGGAGAATACTGGAAAACTGTCATGAATGAGCAATCTATGCCCCAAGCAATTGGAGGCCTCCTTGTTGAAGTTCCTGATTTAACACCAAAAAGGAAAGCCGAGGACTGCCATGAAAACATGAAAAAACCATTCGTTGGGGTTGAAGAATTTGAGCCAAATATTTCATCGTACCATGATGATGAAAGCAAAGCAGAGAACTCTACGAAGGACACTGGCTCACTTCCTAAGTCTCAGGCTTACCCTGACAAGAAGCCATTTGTAGCAAAAGAAGAGAAGCAGCCATTTGATGAAGATTTGAGCCAAGGCCGAATATATCTGTTTACAACGACTAAGAGAAGACGAATTGAATTCGTGCAAAAATCTGGTCCTTTTTAAAATATAATAAGCTCGTGGCTAGTGATCGAGAGCATTTATGATTTACGCATTATCTAAAGGTAGAATTCGAATCTCACTGTGATGTATGTTTAATTAAGCTTTTCTGTGTCAAGAAAAGGCCACTGGCCCTGAGAAAAGTGTAGGTTTTAATTATGACTGTAAGATATGTGCGGTTTGGTCTTTATGTGTCAAGCTTGATCATGAATGTAATGTGCAATCCCAAATAATTAATTAAGATAGCTTTGGCAATTGAATGTGGTTAATTTCTGGGTATGGTCTCTTTTCCAAATAAATAGTTAAAAGAAATTATGGACAGTGTGAGAGGATTCAACGCAAAACTAAGTGGTAATGAGTATGTATTCAGCTGAAAATCTAGTATATCTGCTAGACTTTCATCACTAAGACTTCCAAACTCTGACATCTACAACAAACAGAAACAAACTCTATCACCACATGAAAGATCGAAACATAAGGAAGTTCCTAGGGCGTGGAGAAAAGCTCAATCAGTTCATTATGTTCTCAACCAAATACATGAACACTCAAACAATTCAACAAGAATGAAAGCATGTGATCTAGTGGAGAAGATTACCAACCTGAAGATCCTGCAAAGCAATGTCGGAATCCCTCTCAACTATAAGAGCACTCTATCTCCAAAAATCACTACAAAATGAGCAAATGAAGACAATGAAAAGAGTGGAAACTTCTCATTCTTATAGGGTTCAACATGGCCAAAGAAATTTGAAATTCAAAATTCAAACCATGAGAAAACCCCACATGGAAAGTCTTCAAACTTCCACAGAAGCTAGGGAGTTTTCAAATTTCAAACTTGCAGCACCCCCTATTCCCCTTAAAAAACAAAAACAAAAAGGGAGGAGATGAACACATTAGCTTCATCAATTTATGGTGCCAACAAGAGCTTCATCAATGGAGGGTAACCACAATTCTCAAAAGCTTTACACACTCTTGATCAAGACAGTGTGAAACAAAACCAATTTATGATGCCAACAAGAGCTTCATCAATGGAGGACAAGCACAACTCTCAAAAGCTTCACACATTCTTGATCAAGACAGTGTGAAGCAAAACCAATTTATGGTGCCAATAAGAGCTTCATCAAAGCAGTTCAACCACAACTCTCAAAAGCTTCACACTATCTTGATCAAGATAGTGTGAAGCAAAATCAATTCATGGTGCCCAACAAAGATTCAACCTTAAAGCTTCAACACAAAAGCTTCAATACAAAAGCTTCACCAACAAAAGCTTCATCAATGAAGGACAACTTCAAATTCTCAAAAGCTTGACCTATAAAAGCTCGACCCACAAAAGCTTCACCTACAAAAGCTTGACCCACAAAAGCTTCACCTACAAAAGCTTGACCCACAGAAGCTTCGCCTACAAAAGTTTCACCCACAAAAGCTTCACCCACAAAAGCTTCACCTACAAAACTTCAACACAAAAGCTTCACTTACAAAAGCTTCACACTATCTTGATCAAGATAATGTGAAGCAAAATCAATTCATGGTGCCCAACAAAGTTTCAACCTTAAAGCTCCACCTACAAAGCTTCAACACCAAAGCTTCACCTACAAAGCTTTAAAAAAAAAATATATATATATATATATATATATATTTTATTTTATTTTCGGAAATCCAAAAATTCAAAAATTCGAAAGAAAAAAAAAATTGCCTAGGCCTCCTCTTCTTTGGGCCTAACAACTTTCATAACAAATATATATGAATGAGGAGTTTTGGGCTACCACTTAGAAAGGAAATGCCTCATTCGTCAACTCCCTCGACCAGAGACTTGGGTGACTCCTACCATATGCTACTGTACCTTGATACTCAGAAGTCTCATGACCACTCAGTGACTTGGATTTTTCAAGTCTCCAACCGAGAAGTTTTCCTCACTCGGGAAATTAAAGGAGCACTACCACAACATACATGCTTCACTCTCAAAGCTACAACATACAAGCTTCAACAAAAGAAAAAATTCAAAGAATTTAGTGAAGCAGGCCTTGGTGTATTTAACACAATACGTTGAAATGAAGCAAATCTTGTTTATTGATATCTTCGATAAGTTACAAATATGTGCATATACATGAATCAAAATAAACAAACAAGAATGAGCCTTTACAAAGGTTGCTTATGAGAAGTCTCAACAGTCGGCAGAGCCCTAGAAAGAGTAGGCACCGGAGGGTGATCATTCGGAGCCTCAGTACTAGGCAGAACCCCAAAAAGAGGAAGGACTAAAGGTTGATCATTTAGAGCTTCATTACGCGGTACAGCCCCAGAAGACGAAGGCAATAAATGCCTTTGAAACAAACCCACAAACCTCTGATGATCAAGCAAAATCTGACCATCAGATTCTTGCAACTGGTCAAGCTTCCTTTTCCTGTTTGTAGCATAGTCATGTGCGATCATGTGCAACTGTTTATTCTCATGCTTGAGCCTTCTAATCTCATGTTTGAGACTTATCACTTCAGCTGCTAATGATTCAACTTGGCGGGTTCGAGTAAATAGGCGTTGGGCCATATTAGACACAGAACCTGCACACTAAACACTGAGAGCCAGAGAATCCTTAACAGCCAACTCATCAGACCGTTTGGAAAGTAGTTTGTTATATTTGGGAGTGAGAAGGTTCCTAGCCACCACCGCAGCTGTCATATCATTCTTCATCATAGAGTCCCCAATAGTAAGAGGACTAGTAGGGGATAAGAAGGATGGGTGTCATATGTTGTCTTGAGAAGGCATAGATGCATCTTCACCAAAGTTCAAGTCAAAACGACGGTCGGATGGGCCAGACATTCTCAGAAATGAGGTGCAATAAATCTCTGAAATAAGGGGAAAATTCCTACAAGCAATAACTCTCTGAATGTACTTCTTGCACACAATTGGTGCCCTTATAAAAGAAAGGGCAACAGGGTCGTTGGTTCAAGAATCGAAGAGGCACCACTTTCCGGATTCTGAATAGGCACCACTTTCCACACGCAACATCAGCTCATCGGGTACCATAGATAACTTTGCCAAAGATCTCTGACAAAGTTTAGACATATAAATTTTGAAAGTCTAGCTACCCTACTATTACCCACAAGGGTAAAGGAACAGCACCACTGCTTGATAACTAGAAAGTCCCAATGTGTGTTAACCTTCGTGCTCCGTGGCAAGGCAGACTGGCAAAAATACCCAACCTTTACTCACATTTAAGAAAACACTCCCAACAAGATTGCTTGCTCAAAAATCGAAGAGGCACCACTCTCCGAATCTCGAGAGCCAGACTCCCAACAGGATTACTTTCTCAAAAATCAAAGAGACACTGCTCTCCGAATCTCAAAAGTCAAACTCCCAACAGGATTGCTTTCTCAAAAATTAAAGAGGCACCGTTCTCTGAATCTCGAGAGTTAGATCCTCGACAGGATTACTTGTTCGAAAATCGAAGAGGCACTACTCTCTGAACTTTGAAAGCCAGATTTCCTTGGATAAAGCTTGTCTGCAATCTTCACACGCAACATCAGTTTTCCAGATACCACAGACCACTTTTTCAAAGCGCTCTGACAAAGTTAAAACATGTGAGCTTGTAGCTCCCACTATATTGCTATGACCAAAAAGGGTAAAGGAATAGCATTATTACTTGCTAAAAAATCAAAGAGGCACCGCCCTCCGAATCTCGAGAGCCAGACTCCCAACAGGATTACTTTCTCAAAATCGAAGAGGCATCGCTCTTCGAATCTCAAAAGCTAGACTCCCAACAAGATTGCTTTCTCAAAAATTGAAGAAGCATTGTTCTTCGAATCTCGAGAGCCAGATCCCCGACAGGATTGCTTCTTCGAAAACCGAAGAGGCATCGCTCTCCGAACTTCGAGAATCAGATTTCCTTGGATAAAGCTTGTCTGCAATCTTCACACGCAACATCAACTTTCCAGATACCGCATACCACTTTTTCAAAGTGCTCTAACAAAGTTAAAAAACGTGAAGCTTGCAGCTCCCACTATATTGCTACGACCAAGAAGGGTAAAGGAATAGCATTACTACTTGTTGTTAGGGAGACTCCTATATATGTCGACCTCCATCTTCCACGAACAGGCAGACCTGCAAAAATGCTCAACCCTTCCTCATATATGAGAGGGCACTCCCAACGAAGCCTTTCGAAATACTCAGCTTTCTTCCCCCCCCCCCAATAATACCTATGTAAACTAGCCATACCAGAGCAAGAGTATCTCATATCATCAGGGTCAAAAGCAAGAGTATCCCATATCATGCTTTTTCCCTATCTTTTCCTTTGCCCTTGTTCTTACCTGCAAGACAAGGAGAAAGAGAACAATCAATCAGCACTTGGAATCAAGCTTTCAATCAGGAACTGACTGCCTAGAACCCCTTGCCTGACTACTTACCTGGCATTGCTCTCGAGTACTCATCTTCAACATCTTATGCTTCCAGAAAAGATACCACATCTTCCTGAGGAACAGATAAGGCAAGTGAGAAGGATACAAGGAAGCATGTGGAGACAAGCGCAACAGAACACATGCTGATTCATCCACTACTTCGTCAACAGCAAAAGTAGCCCATATCATCAAGGTCGAACTCACTCTTGATTTGATGGACTTATTTTGACCCTCAAATTCTTGAGTCGGCCTTATACGCTAGAGGAAACCAGAAAACCCTCCAGCCCAGTTCAAGAATAAGCATGTGGAAAGTTACTTCTTCAAAAGCAAAAGTATTTCATATCATCTCTTCTCCATTTGCTTCTCCTTATCCTTGTTGTTGTTTACGACACAAGGAGAAGGAGAACAATCAATCGGAAGCCGAAGTCGAACCTCCGATCTAGGTTGCTTGCTTGGAAGTCTGATTGCTTACCTTGTCTATTACCTCTTTCGGCAAATCTCCTAGCTCGGCGACTTGGGGGACTCCTACTATAGGATTTTGTATCGCACTTGACCAAGCCTAAAACTAATAGTAAGCTTCAAGTAAAATTGATACATTACCTTATGCATCTTCATCGGTTAAAGATACCACCACTGGATGGAGGAAAAGTACTTCCAAAGAAAATGTCACATTTACGTATGAGACAGATAAGGCAAGTGAAAATGATACCACACTTTGGTACTTAGAAGTTTTGTGATTACTCAATGGCTTAGATCTTGCAAGTCCCCAATCGAGGAGCTTCCCTCACTCGGGAACTTAAGGGAGCATTGTTTGTACCATACTTGACCAATCCCGAAACT